GTGTGATTCAAGTTCTGCCTAGTTATTATGTGTGTTGCACATGTGTGACACACATAATAATGAGTTGGAACTTTGATTGCACCATCATGGCTGCCATATTGACTTTTTTGACTATACCCTGAGGACACCCCTGCTCAGGTTAGATTCCCACACTTAGAAATATTCATACAGAATGCATCAACATTCCACAGATTTTCCACTGAGGAGAATTCTCATGACATCCCCAACTCCTGGCTCATGAGATCAAGCCAATTGCTCCTTTGTCCCTCTCTGTGAAGGGACCAAAACTATGAAAAATTGTTTTGGTTTTGCACAAAAAAATCAGGAAGAAGAAAGATATTGCAGATCATAATTTTATAGCATACTTTCCAATGACAGTTTATTTAGCTTTCCCAAAATGGGAATATCGGGAATATGTCAAATATGTTGAAACCAAGGCTGTGCAAATTCTTTGAAAGAGTTACTTCAGAATGTGTAGTAACACATACAAAGCACCTCTTTTTATATTATTAAAACAGCTGCATCAAAAGCTACTCCCAGCCATTTCTAAATAAACCTGGAAAAAGTCATGGCTATGCTAATAATCTTGCCAAAACAACATTCTTGGACTGCTGGCATTTTGTAAAGCCTTAAAGACAGGGTTTTGTCACTGAGCTGATCCAGATTTGTGGCAAAGCCTGTGCAATAATTATGTTGATTTCTGTTGGTTGTTTTGTTGTTCACAATATGTAGTGACCTCTGCGTTGGTTAAGTATTGGGGCTGTTTGACTCAACCTTGGACATACATTGGACATATGGGACATTTTTCTAATGTATTATTGTTAAAAAGGTGTCAAGCATATCACTTCACTGTGTTTTTCTTGTACATGTCTCCCTTTCTCCCCGTTCGAGAAGGCAAAAGTATTCAGAGAAAGCCCTCTTCCCTATTTTTGTTCCTTGCTTCCTTAAAAATACGATATAATAAAATGTAGTTCTCACTTTCAGTTTCTAACATGTGACTTTAACAACTTCTATGATGGTCAATGCCAAGAATGTTAAAGGGAACTTCTTATTTTTTATGTCCAGTTAAAAAATCAGTTTAACATGAAGTTTTCCAAATTAATTAATAAGAAAAAGTGCTTATTGCTGAAAACAAACCCAACGGCACCTATGAGAACAATACATTGAACCATCTCCCACAAACCTATTCTCTAGCATAGTGGGAAAGGTGGCAATGGAAGTTATAATAGGAGGAATAATCCAGAGTCGATTGTCCCCACCCATTTTCTGCCAGCTAGATGCTCTAAGAACTTTATAATGCTCCCATTGGCAAAATAAAAACTCTGGGTTGTAAACTCAATATTTTGATTCATCTCAGCTTTGCCTGTGATCAAATAAATATCATTTTCATTACATTTCCGTGTCCTTTTGCCTTTTTTGTTTGCTAAAACTGCAATCAATATATATATATATATATATACACATACACACACACACACTTTCAGGTACACATTTCCTATGCACAATTTTGGATGGGTTTTTGTTTCATCAGGAGTCTGACAGCATCTTCTCTGATTAACCAATTTTATTAAAAAGCATAAGCTTCTGTTATTGCAGACATGAACCATAAGTTCTCTATTATCCCATGTCTGCAGTGAAGACAGATGAAGACAGCCATTCTATGCATCTAATAAAATGAAAAAAGTTCCGTTTTCTTCTTTTTATTATTAATGATTTTAAAATCTCAGAAAATAAGTACCAAATATCTCTTCCTATTTAAAGTTTTAGTTTTGTCGAAAGGGTCTGTGAACAAGCCCATGTTCTTCTGAGCTAGCCTTTCCCAGACTTGAATGGGAATTGAATGTGAATTCTAGAATTCTAATTCAAGACATCTAGAAATTATTGGGTCAGACAAAGGATCTTTTAGAGTAGTGTCAGGCTTTTGAGACTAGATATCATTAGAGGGAAGGCTGAGTCAAAATGTAACATGAAGTCACATACCACATAAGCAGGTGAAACTGTGGCCATAAGGGCCTTTGTCCAGCTCTCATTGGTGCACCATCATGGCCTTACTTGGGGCAGGAGGACCTGACTATGGTTCATGCCCTCATCACCACTGGTGTAGGCTACTGCGATGTTCTCTAAATGGGGCTGCCTTTAAAGATCACCCAGAATATTCAGTAGGTGCAAATGAGCTTCAGAAAAGTTTATCTTAGGTTTCTGAACTTCTAAAAGTCAAATGGATATTTAGTTAATTATTAAAAATATGTTATTATGCCAACTCTTTTTAAGAAGAGTTTTAAAAAATAAAAACACATACAACAGCATTAAAGGATCAATGCAGTCAAACAATTAATAAGCACAGCAACATTAAAAGACGCAAAGGTGGAGAAAGATCTGGATATATGTTATAAACAACCCCAAAAACATTGAGTATATAGTCAAAAGACTTCTTTTCCTCTTCGTCAACATAAGACAAACACTGCGTACCAAAAATGCACTACCTGGAAACCTGACATATGGAGATTTCCTTTAGTGTTGTATAATAATTGGTTTAACCAATCCCCAGTGCTCTAAACATCCATAATTCTTGCTATCTTGGTAGATCCAAATACTGAAGATCTAGACAAGGGAGGGGGAAAAAGCACATGCATCCTTAACATGCAGTTATTGACTCAGGGTCAACCTTGTTGATGTCAGCCCAAACTGCAGCAATAAGACAAGGCCTTAGGGCAGTGTTGTCCAAACTTGGCCACTTTAAGATGAGTGGACTTCAACTCCCAG